ATATTCCTTAGCTTTGGTGCTGGCGTAATACGGAGTTGGTCCTCGTTACGACTGTGAATTCTGGCCATGTAATCATCCTACGGGAAATCCTAGTATAGTGACTCTTTAGTCGTTTTGTTCATCCGCGCAGATCTCGACTGGACGCGTCGTCTGGATCATATACTGAATACTCGGACGCAAATGAAACTGGACGAGAGCGCTAGGGCTCACTGGTTCTTCCTGGGTTTTTGACTGAGAAGATGTCTGCTGAACTGAGCGAATCCAAGCAGGAAGTGTCTTGTTCTGACTGGGTTTTTCGGTGGATGATAGAAGACTACTCCACTTCCGTCACCACAGTCTGCTGGGGGTAATAAACTCGCAGCAGATGAAGATACCCACTGACCCAATAAGTTGTAATCTTACTAGGTTTTGACCAACTTATTTTTTTATATGTCAAAATGCATTTGGAATTACACGTAAAACCTTTAAGTTTAAAATTTAAGTATTAGTAAAACAATGGTATTAATACATGTACAACTTAAACAAAAAAAGGTATAGATAAAAATTAAAAATAATAATCTAAAGTTTCTGGTACATGTCATGTACTTATATGTAAAATCCAGAGCTTCACCGTGCTAGCACGGCATTAGTCTCACTCATTAACATGTAATTAAACTGAAATGGGTTCTACTGCGGCAAGACGAAGTGCCGCTACCTGGAACCGGTGTTAACACGAGCCCATACGCGGCGACCAGCTTCCGTACAGCTTCAAAGACCGCTTTGTGGGAACAAGGCGAGAGGTATGAGTTTGGGGGCACTAGCGAGCCTTATGTGTTGTGGGATTCCCCCTTCTTTGTTGTGGTAGACTATTTTGGGTTACTGGTGGGGCAGGCCTCTTTTGGGTCCCATTTAAATGGGTACCTTTTTAAGACAAGCCATTCTCAATCATAGTCAAACTGGCTAAACTTGTATTTGTCCAGCTTACCGTAAAAATCTTATCAAAAGCACCCCTGGTAGCGACAGTACACTTTTACCAGCCAATCAAATACTCGGATTCTGCTCATGTATCGAAAGGCACCCCTGGAAAATAATACCATCAATCGTTTATTACTGATACCTGAATACTGTGTCCGCACCGCTCTGCACCTGTATACATGTCAGTAAGCGTGCGCACACTTAAAAAGGCAAAAAAAACACACACACACACACACAGTCAACTGCACGTTTAAATTACCGCTATTTATAATCCACTGCTGTCATTTATTGTAGGAAGCTTTTCCCATGCACTTCCCACCCCGTCGCTACCAGGGGTGCCTTTTGATAAGATTTTTATCGTAATATCATCTAATAAGAAATGTTTGTGGTTTGAAGCGATGTATTGATGGGAATCGTATGTGTTTTGATAGACTCATTTCGATTTCGTTAAGAAAAAAATTCCGTGACCTATGAATATATGGCACAAGTATGGATTTGCTTTAAATTGGTGATTAAGGGAATCCACGAACTATGAACCTCATAGCACATGTGTCGCCATTTGTGTCCTGTGGACATATTACATTTCGGTGTGAGTGATTCGTTAAAGCTTTGGCTGTGTGCGCTATATGACTGGGAATCTAAAATAGTTGTCTGTGTGCTATGCTTACTATGATAACTAAACTTTACCCATCTTGGCTCACGGAGGATTGCTACAACTGTGACAAATAAAAAACAACATAGTTGAAGATGTTGACCTGAAGAGAACGTGGTCACGTTAAACCAGCGCAATAGTGTCCGCTGTAGGATGTTGCGGTCGTATTGCTAGAGTTATACAACATATTTGAGCTGTCAAGGTGACCTGCTTAAGAATTAGTATCTTCAACGATCGGATGAGTTTGCGATTGTGCATAACACGGGGTAGTGTCTGAACATAAACCAAAAATAATACGTGATTGTGCGACTACACGGATTGCATTGTCTTTATTTAGTTTTTTTTTTCTTTTTGCAGCTTCCTTTGCGATTATCAACTCCCGCACTCCCTACTTCTTCGCCTACCAGCCCCCTCCACCCCTTCGTCATCATGAGCGACAGAACGGCACCTGAAGCCAGCTATCACTACATGTCAGAGTCCCAGCACTGGTACCTTGGATAGGGACTCATTCGGTGATGAGGATACCAAGAGCAACGATTTTGGGCATCAACTGGAACGAAACGTCTTCAAAAATGAGGATTCGTCTGCTGCAACCCGAGACGGAGATTTCCAACTTCTTGGCGAAGATACCCCATTTGATGATGGTGAGCCTATGGCACAGAGACCCCAATCGGCGGGTTTATCAATCTTATTAAAGCTGGCTCGTCTGTCCAAATCCGTTTGCCCTTCGAGGACCAAAGAGGCTGATGTTGAAGATGCTGACGATTGAGATCACGACGCTGATAATTCCGATACTGAAGAAGTTGACGAAGCCTATGTAGGCGATGACGATGCAGAGGTCGAAGACGTAAACAAAGATGGAAAGGGACATGCGATGTGAGCGGGGCCCACCGAGATGCACCGGAGGAAACGCCTCCTCTTAGGGACATTGCAGGCCACCACAATGTGGTAGATCACTATGAGAAGCGCCACCTGTCAGGAATCAATCTTAGCGGATACAAGTACACGCGAGCCCATCAATCCTCTCAACGCATCTCGTATTGCTGTAACTTCTATCGTCGAATGGGCTGCAAGGTAACGGTCCATTTCATTTCCACGATAGCCGCATATATCGGCTTTGTGTCAAATTGCGGTAATCGCATCATCAACTACTGTGGATTTCACGCGTGAAATGGATGATTTCACCGGCCAGCGGATATGGAATCAAGTCCAGCTATATTCTTCCAGCGCAAGGATGACGTGAGCGTTAACGCAAATGCAAGTGATGGGGCGTGTCCATCAAAAATGGCGAACCCATTTCGTATTCACGGTGACCCACCTCTATCACTAGCGGCTGGAGTAAAACCTTCACTTCTTCCAGTATCACCATGTCTACTACGAAAACGAGCAGCTTCAACGCATTGTCGGCTGGGCTCACCGCGTCTCTTCGAGCTGCTTGGTTATCCAGGCTCTCAACGTTTGTGTTGTTCGTACATTTCGGTCAGTCCCTCGATCATTCAAGAGTGTGTAGTAATGATGCAAAAAAGATGCGGGATGTCGTGTATTTGTCTCGGTGATGTGCACACTGACGACTAACTGAACAACTTTAACGTACACCAGAGTGTTTGGATTTATCGGATATGCGGTCAACGTTTCTCTTTTTAGATAATATTTGTTAACGTCTTGCTTGCTTTAGTACAATCAACTCAGTATGCACACGTAGATGTCGATACTGGTCAAAAGGCCACAGCTTTACATTTCTATGATACGACGTTGCCGTACTAATATATGATCACAATATTGCAAATCTATTTGTCGCGGATAGCTACTATATTCATCCATACATTACAGAATCCAGCGCTGTTCTTATATATTTATAGAAAAATATTTAAGCGAATCAGTGCGGTCCTCTAAATTTATTTCAAAACTAGCCTGGATTAGAGCGAATATTTGTTTTGGGACAGATCATGCGACTAGATTCTCGAGCATTTTTTTTTGGTTTCGGAATTTGAACAGTCCAAACTGTTTTGAACCGGAGTGGTTACTAAATAAAGTACACTCGATGGGTCAACCCTTGCACGTCACTATGATGCAAAAAACTTCTCCACCTCTTGAGGCTGCGTACAGCTCACAACCCACCGTGCTAAATAGTCAGGACTTAAACACGTGACACTGCACGCTCGAGTACGCGTCATCCACAACCTCGCCGTCCCGTTTTCGTGAGCGATATTGTAAGCAGATCCAATACTAAGATCCTTGTCCAACATTGAATCCGGCGAACACCTGGTAGTACAACCAGTTCCTGCCATCTTGCCTCCAAAAATCTGCACAGATGGGTACACCAGCATTTAATCATTCATCTACTGCACGTGCTAGTATTCTCTGTCTCAAGTTCGTGAGCATCTCGTGCTTTGACAACTGCGCTTCCGCCGCGACACGAGTTTGCGTTTCTGAGATCGTAATACCCGCCTTCGAGTCAGCAGTGATAATCTATCGAGCGGTATCTGTCCCAGAACGAAGACGAAGAACGGGGTGAGCTGACGGACTTTCAGACGGAGGATGGATGAGCTCATTTGCAGTTCCTCGATGTTGCTTTTTCAGGATACGCTAGCTTCGGGGAGGGCGCGCGAAACGAGAAGTGCCGCCCCCACAGTTCAGGCGGATGGAACCTTCTAGAAGGTTCCACAACCTCCCTACATCTGCCTTTCTGTATTGCATACTGAGCCTGCCTCTGATTGGCTACAAATCTACACCTATCCTATCTGATACACTCACCCTCCCTCTGCCGTGCGCGTCCCCTCAGTCTTGCCATTCCCGACATTGCGCTGTATGCCAGAGGTGCCGTTCCCCGTCGGGTTAGTCCGACCCCGAGTTACTCACGCCTGCCTTGTGCGGGCCTGTTTACTTGGGGCTTGGATAGGTCCGTCTTGGTGGATGGCTGTGCCTCCTGCGTCTGCTGCTGCTGCTGCTACTGCTAGCCCGGCTTCCGCCGCTTCCTCGCTTCGCTCGCCGACCGTACGGCCTGGGGTGCTTCCAAGCGACTCTTTGGTGGCACCGACCGGCATGGCTTCACCCGCTTCGCCTGAGCCCCACACGTTGGACGAGGAGTTCCTTGCGAGCTTTCTCGACTGGGGCCCCGACAGTGACTTCGGTTCCCATGCTCATGCTCGTTCTCGCGCTCGTTCGTCGACGCCGCCTGCTCCTACTGAAATCTCTGCTGTTCCGGATGCCATGGTCGATGCTCTTGCTGTTGCTGTAACTCTGCCGTAACCTGTACGGGCTCCTGCGGCTCCATCCCCAATTGACGCGGCTGCTGAAGCTCCTGGCTCAAGTCTTGTTCCTCCCTGTTCGGTTACGTCTCCTGTTGGTCCCTCAGAGATCGCCATTGCGTTTGGCGTGTCTCGCGAAGACGTTACGGAGTTCTGGAAGACGCTTCAGCGCCAAAGTGCTCCGTCGAACTACGGCACCATGCTTCCCAATATTCTTCATGGATCCATCGGGAGTGTTGCGACTCTGGAACGCTTCTTTGAAGCCTTGGTTCCGGGTACCTACTTGGTGAGCGCGGGCCAGGATGACGTCGGTCACTGTTTCGTC